TACACTACCATTACCAGGGTTACAGGTATACACTACCATTACCAGGGTTACAGGTGTACACTACCATTGCCAGGGTTGCAGGTGTACACTACCATTGCCAGGGTTGCAGGTATGCACTACCACGTTCAGTTTATGTTGTGCTGGGAATTAAATCCTTGGCCTCTTGCCTTCCAGGCAGGCACTCTACCACCTGATGTACATCCCCAGTCTTTGGTTTGGTAGGTTGCTCTTTGTGGGTTTTGTTTGGTTTTTAGTTTTTATTTATTTACTCATTTGTTTATTATTTTACGTGTATATGTGTCTTGCCTGAATGTATGTGTGTGTGTTATGTGTATGCCTGCTATTCATAGAGGGAAGCAGATGGCATTGGATCCCCTATAACTAGAGTTATATTCGTCATGTGAGTGCTAGGAACAGAACCTAGGTTTCCTGAAAGTGCAGCAAGAGTTCTTAACTCCTGAGCCATCTCTTCAGACCCTTGTCTGTTTTTGTATTTTGAGACAGAATTTCATTGTGTAGTCTAGGATGCCCTCAAACTCACTCAGTTCTCCTACCTCAAGTTCCCAAGTGCTGGGATTACAGGCATAAACCACCATTGTCACTCTGACTCATTTCCTTGACATCTTATTTTATCTCGTACCCTAGCCTTGAGTTAGCTGTGCTTTGTAAGTACTGATCGTGGATTCCTCTGTCTTCCCTTTCTGATTTTATTTCTTTCTATTTTATTTTGAGAAAAGCTCTCCTGTGTCCTAGACTGGATTAAATTTACTAAGGACGACCTTAAATTTCTAATCCTATTGCCTCTACTTTCCGAATGTTGGGATCATAGGAGTGTGCTGCCCTAGCTGTGCCAGAATTGAGCCCAGGTCTGCCTGCTTGCTGGGCAGACACTCTACCAAATGAGCTGCATTTTCAGCTTCTCTTCCTTTCTTTAAAAACTATGGTGTGTATGTGTTTGCATTTGTGTGGCCCTGTGTGTATGTGGAGGTCGGATGACCACTCGAAGGAGTTGATTCTCTCCTGTTACCATGTGGGCCCCAGAGATCAAACTCAGGTTAGCAGGCTGGCAGCAAGCTCTGTAGCAGCCTGAGCCGCCGGGGCCAGCCCCTCTCCCTTTCTTTTGTATTGTTTAACGCTGCAGCGGCAGTGATAGTCAGGACTATGATGACTCCAGCTCTTCTTACTCCTCCCTTGGGGACTTCGTCAGTGAAATGATGAAATGTGACATCAATGGCGACACTCCCAGTAAGTACACTGGGGAAGACTGGCCAGTACAGACTATGCAGGCTTGGGTTTAAGGCTGAGGTGGTCTGTACCTCTTGGTCTCTCTCGGTAGATGTGGATCCTCTGACGCATGCAGCCCTGGGAGATGCCAGTGAGGTGGAGATTGATGAGCTGCAGCCCCAGAAGGAGGGAGAGGAGCCTGGCCCAGACAGTGAGAACTCTCAGGAGAACCCTCCGCTGCGCTCCAGCTCCAGCACCACTGCCAGCAGCAGCCCCAGCACCGTTGTCCACGGTGCCCACTCTGTACGTGAGGACTTAGAGGGGTGGGCAGATGGTGAGAGCCACTGTTTAGGATGTGGGCTTCTGTCTGTCAGGAAAACCTTACTGTAGCTGTTCATTTGCCTTTTTCCATGTTCTTTCCATCTCTTTTCTCTATAATACTCTGAGGTGGCCTGGAAGGAGGTCATTGGACTTCTTTAAGGTGTTACTATTATCTACTTACATAGTCTGTAAGTCCAGAGATCAAGAATACAGTAGCTTCTCTCATACATTTCATAGGCTAGGAATCTGACGGGTCTGGTCTGGTCTGCTCCACTGAACTGAAACTATGTGAAATCACCACTGGGCATCGGGTGACCACTCTTTATTTAATGTGACTCCTAGGAACCTGCTGATGCTACAGAGATGGGAGATAAGGCAGCAGCAGGCATCTCCAAGCCCCTCCCTCCTGTGCCTCCCAGCATTTGCAAATCTACTGTGGACAGGAGACAGACAGAGACTGGAGAGGGGTCAGTGTGCCAGCGAACCTATGAAAATCCGTACTTCGAGCCCCAATATGGCTTTCCCCCTGAGGAAGATGAGGATGAGCAGGGGGAGAGCTACACTCCCCGATTCAGCCAACATGTCAGTGGCAGTCGGTGAGAGCCTGGGGACCCCACTGCAGTGACCCTGGGCGAGGTTAATCAGAAAGTCTATAGACTCTCTCTATTCTTCCAGAGGCTAGTTCTTTGAATGAGGGACTTAGAAATTATGGGATAAGAACAGCAACTAAAGTATAGCATAAGGCCCACTCCCAAGATTAGGTACCCCTGCCTGGGACTCACAAGTGGCACTGTGCATTCAAGGGCTCAAAAGCTGCTGCGGCCCAACAGCTTGAAGCTGGCAAGTGACTCAGATGCAGAGTCAGACTCCCGCGCAAGTTCTCCCAACTCCACTGTCTCTAACAACAGCACCGAGGGCTTCGGGGGCATCATGTCTTTTGCTAGTAAGTACCTCAAACTTTCTCATTCCTCTGCTCCATTTTCTTTAGGCCACATGTTGCTCAGGTCTTGAGATGTAGGGCTAGGCCTACATTAGTTCTGATTCAGATCATTGGGGTGATACCAAATGAAGTATTTTTAAATGAGTTAAAAGAAATACCAACCACATTAGTCATTAAATATGTGTGTATGTGTGTGTATGTATGTATGTATGTTTGTATGTGTGTATGTTTGTATGTATGTATGTATCTATGTATGTATGTTTGTATGTTTGTATGTATGAAGTATGGGTGTGTGGCCACACATGAATGTACCAACAGATCACAGCATGTGTGTGGAGGTCAGAGGACAACTTGCAGGAGTTGGTTCTTTTCTACCCTGTGGCTCCTCCTCAGGGTCAAACTCAAGTTTCTAGATATGACAGCAAGTGCCTTTACTCACCGGGCCAACTCTAACCTTCTCACATATATGTATTTCAGATGTAGTCGAATATTAAATATTATGGTTAAATCATACAGTTTTACATATACTTTGTGTGAATATTTGTTTTGGATATGGCTTTGCCTGGTAAGGAGTTTTAATGGACATGTTTGAAATATATATGCAACTGATTTTCATGCTTACTTTTAGCACCTGAGGGCTAGAATCACTCACAGACTGTAGATTGACTAGAGGCTAATGAGAGCTGCCATAAAGGATGATTGTAGATGTCCTGAGAAGCCAGGCAGCAATTGCACTTCAGATCTAAAGATAAATGAACCACATACACGAGATGTGGATATTGTTGTGGTATGCAGCCCGAGAAGACTAGGACTGCATTTTGAGCAGATCTATCTGGGGTTTGTTTATTTACCCTAAGTTTCACTCAATTCTTTCTAAGGTAGAGTAGAGAGTATCTGATCAAGCTATTTGGGATGCTGTTTGAAAGCAGGGCGGTGACGATGATGTCACTTACAAGATGTCATGAGTCTTTGTCCTGTTAACTCATGGGCATGCTCATTGTCGTACCTTCCCCTTCGTAGGCAGCCTATATCGGAACCATAGTACAAGCTTCAGCCTTTCAAACCTCACACTGCCCACCAAAGGTGTCCGAGAGAAGACCACACCGTTCCCCAGCCTGAAAGGTAACTACAAGTCTTCTTTTGTCAAACCAGGTTTCTCTGAGAGACATGTCAGACATGTGGGTGATTGTCAGGAGCCTGCATACCATGAATTGTTTGACCTGGCTGCTGCCTCATTTGCTTATCACGACTTCCACTGCACACTATAGGCACCAGGTAGTTGTAGATAGAAATAATCTTTGTAGCTGGAGGCGGCCCTGTCATATCAGAAGGACAGTAGCAGTATGGGATTACTGCTGCTTCGGGGAGGACCTTATCAGAAGTATATGCTAACACAGGGTTAATCAGCTGCCCTCAGTCATCTTCAGATTCCTACTACATGAACTTGGATAAACTTCCCAAGGAACTGGTCCACAGGAGGATGATTATGGGCAATCTAGCAACATTTATAGAAGCTAGCTTCATATGGCTTCATGCCAACTTTTGGTCTATGAGTGGTATTGATTGGCTTCTAGGGTCAATTCGTACTGTATTTCAATTTCATCTGTGATCTGTGTAGCTTGAGGGGCTTTTCTCAATTTAATTTGGCTTCTGTTTGTCATCTCTGGATATTGTGCTGAAATACTGAATAATACTAGTACATACAGCGAGAAGCAACCATTTTATTGATACAGGGTTTTTCTATGTAGAGCCCCTCACACTTAAGAGTCTTCTTCCCTTAACCTCCCTAGTACTAAGATTAGAGACATGTACAGCCCATCACATCCAGCTAGAGATTTCAGGAACCTACGGAATGACCTTTAGTGGAGTGGGGATTTGGAGGTGGGTGAAAGAGGCAGAATAGTAATACAGAGAACCCACCCATATTGCTACAGTGAATCTCAAATGGATGGGTGGAGTAGGGATGGAGAGGTGTGTAGGCCTCTCTGCCTCTCATCTAGTGCATTTGAAGGGAAGAGTGACAGAAACTCACTGCATGCAATGCTTCATCTCATGTGCTGCACCTGCCTTTCTACCCTGCCCCATCCTCACTACAGCACCCTTACTTCCCTGACAGCATCTGCAAGATGTCTCCTCCTTGTGGTTACCCACAGGCCCTCAGGATCCCTGTGCTAGATATTCCACAAAAACAAGCATTCCCTCTTTCATGCATGTGCTTGTTTAATATCTGAAGGCTCTCTGTCATTTACCTTGCCCCTGGCTTTGAGGGGTCCCAGGCCTAAGAATGTTCTTTCTTAGAGCCTTAGTTATCTCCTGGTCACTTGGCTTCCAGCTTTGATGTGCCCAAGAATTAAGGTTATATGCACTTTCCAGGCTTTGAGAGAGTGCTCAGATGGTCTGACTTACTGTTCCAACAATGGGTAGAGGGTTTCAAGTATTGTGGTACACTTACTAATTGTGTATTTTTGTCCCAGTATTTGGGCTAAATACTCTAATGGAGATTGTTACTGAAGCCGGCCCTGGGAGTGGTGAAGGTGGGTCTTCCCCGTGAGCTGTGCATGACCTTTTTTTTTTTTCCTAGCAACTTCTCTGCCTGCCTGAGGGCCATCCTCCTCATGGAGCAAGCAATGTCACATGAGTGACCTGCCTTGCGTATCCCTCACGACACCCATGCAGCCCACGGGGCATGCTGCTGGTGCATGTGGAGTGGCCTGATCTCTGTCCCTCTCTCCTGCACATTGCCATGGCTGCTTTCTACCTTTGTGTGATGTTCTGGTATCACCCTGCCCAGCCCTGCTGGAGCATGGGTGTGGACTGTGGCAACCCAGGGGTGTGATAACGTGAGCTCCTGGACTATGCCAACGATGTATCCCAATTCTACCTTCCCAATTTAGGAAACAGGAGGGCCTTAGTGGACCAGAAGTCATCTGTCATTAAACACAGCCCAACTGTGAAAAGAGAGCCTCCATCACCACAGGGCCGGTCCAGCAATTCTAGGTAACAAATGGTGGTTTGTTTGTTTCTTTTTTCTTGAGATAGTCTCGTATTTCCTACAATGCTTCCCTTAAACATAGTATGTAGTTTGGATGAACTTGAACTAATATCTACTTCCATTCCCAAATGCTGAGGTTATAGGCACGCACCACAGCACTTAACTGGAAGAACAGTTTTAAAGTTCTCAGGTAGAAGGAATGATTCCTATTTTTTAATTTTTTTTTTTTTTTGAGGAATGTTCAAGATTGAAAGAGCAGCTCCCAAAACAGTAGATTTACTCAATTTTCTGTCAGCACCTCCCATTTTTAGCCAGTCCACAGGCAACAGTTTATGGTGTGCTTTATGGTGTGGAGAAAGGGAAACTGCAAGAGTGTAGGAAGTTGTCAAACAAGATCCTTGGGGACATGGGGCGTGGTGGTCATGAGCATTTGGAGACTTACTTAGCTTTGTCTTTTCCCTGGGATATACCTTGTCTGGTGAAAGGGGGGTTGGTTGCTCTGCCAAGGATTGGATGACCACAAAAGTGGTTTGTGGGCCCTGTAGCGAGAACCAGCAGTTCCTGAAGGAAGTGGTCCACAGTGTGCTGGACGGCCAGGGAGTGGGCTGGCTCAATATGAAAAAGGTACGCCGGCTGCTAGAGAGTGAGCAGCTTCGAGTTTTTGTTCTGAGCAAGCTGAATCGTGCGGTGCAGTCAGAGGATGATGCCCGGCAGGATGTCATCCAAGATGTGGTAAGTATTTGGGCAAGGGAGTCAGGATCAACTGGGCAGAAGGATGTGGTTGTTAAAGGAAAGGTGCTAGCTCTAGGTCCTGACCTTGTTGCAGGAGATCAGTCGGAAGGTGTACAAGGGAATGCTAGACCTCCTCAAGTGCACAGTCCTCAGCCTTGAGCAGTCCTACGCCCATGCGGGTCTGGGTGGCATGGCCAGCATCTTTGGGCTCTTGGAGATTGCCCAGACCCACTACTATAGTAAAGGTAGGGACATACTTGCTGTCTCTCTGTCAGGCTTCCCAGTGTCACTCCGCTCTGTCACTCTTTGGGATTTTGATTCTGGTATGTTTAAATGTAAGAGACATTATTCCTACCATGCAAAACAAGGCCTTAGTTGTTCTTTCTGAGTGCTAACTCTGCCCCACATCCTCCTGTATTCCCCCCTCCATTTCACTTTCCTGACTTGATTTCTACTTGATGTTTCCTTTAACCACTCTTTGAATTTGTTCCTTTCCTCAGAACCAGACAAACGGAAGAGAAGTCCAACAGAGAATGTAAATACCCCAGTTGGCAAGGATCCAGGTCTAGCTGGGCGGGGGGACCCAAAGGCAATGGCCCAGCTAAGGGTCCCCCAGCTGGGTCCTCGGGCACCAAGTGCTACAGGAAAGGGTCCTAAAGAACTGGATACCAGAAGTTTAAAGGAAGAGAATTTTGTAGCATCTGTTGGTATGTATTATTGCATTTGATTTACCAAAATGGGCCTGGCTTCTTAAATATCCCTCCATTCTCTCAACTCATCCAGAATCCTGACTTTTTCTTCCCTGTGCTTGCTTTTTAGAGAGGGATTTAGGTACTTGTCCATCTCCAGGAGCATTTCCTTACCTGTATTTGGTTTTCCTTTCCTGCTTGCTCCACTGCCACCTCACCAGCATCTTTTAGGAACAATGGAAGTTTGCTTAGAGACCTCTGGGATGCAATACAGGGGTTCTGAGCTGTATCCTCAATCCCTTTTTAGTTTACATCTGAATTTCTTCACATAGAAAAAACATGTTCCTGGAAACTATTAGGAAATTTATAGATACATCTTTGGGATGTAAAATTATGATCATCTGGGTCTCTGCATCCAGTTTTCCCCCATCCAAGCATTACACTGCTCTGGAATGTGTTCTGTTCTGGCATGTTTGGGTTCTAGACTCCAAAATCACAGATTTCTGAGCCAGCTCTTCTTTCTGTCTTTCCACCCCAGACTTGACTGAAAACTTGCTTCTGTTTGGTGCTTCTCTGTTCACTCTGGTGTCGCCTATTTGGCTCACTCCTACTTGACCTTGAGTCATCTAGGCTGCTTTCTAGATCTAGATTTTGATGCTAGATCCCTGGTCTCTATGCTATGCTTTCAGCTGATACTTCTTTGCCACAGCCTCTAGCCATTGTTTTAAGTTCTCATAGGAACGAAGCAGCTCTCTTCTTAGGGCCTCTCCAGTTCTCATTCTCCTAGAAGCTGTAGTAAAGCCTGGCTTTCTCCTGCTTGATATGATGCTCTAGAAAAATATTGATCTGTTGTTGTCCTGAAAGTCTTGACTCTACTTGGGCAGATCACACCCCAATTAGAATCTCTGCCCCCTCATCTAGAAAATGAAGAGATTATACTAAATAAACTCTGAAGTTCCTCCCAGGAAAAAAAAAAAAGCTCTGATTGATATTTTCTGTTTTGTATTACTGAGAAGCTAGTCTTGACCATTTTCTGTTCTCTGTTACTTCTATCGGAAGGTTGTTTTCCTAGATAGTGACTATGAGTGGGTCCCTTAGTTGAGCAGGCAATAGTTCTAAGGGTAAATTTGGTTTTTTAGTGGCAACAGGAGGAATGCTAACTGAATGCTTGGCCTTGGTCCAGTCCAGGAGTCAAGCAGATTTCTGCTCATGTCTCTGAAATTCTTGGACTGCTTGTCCAAGAGACTTCTGTCTTCTCTGTAATGTGTAGGCATGGCCATTGCTTGGCTTATTTGGCAGAGAGCTCACAGTGTGGTAGCAGTCAAATGCTCCGTCTCCAGCCTATTGAGGGTACAGTTCTCATACAAAACACAAGGGTCTCACGAAGAGCCCTTCCAGCTTAAAAATTCTGTAGTGTTTACACTGGGAATATGACTAGAAACTTAGAATCTTCAGTGGCAAAAACTGGATTTTTGATTCCTCAACCGTACCCAAATAAAGATATCTTCGTATCTTTTAACCGATAATGCTGTGTCTGAAAGGGAATGAGCATGGGCGGTGGGTTCCGGTCCTTTGACAAGTCTGACTCTTTCTGTCTTTCTCTCCTGCTTGCATTGCATCTGGGGTAGAATTGTGGAACAAGCACCAGGAAGTGAAAAAACAAAAGGCTTTGGAAAAACAGAGTAAGGAACGAATGCCCTTCCTGTCCCCCAGTCTCCCATACCTGCCAACTTCCCAGGCCCAATTGGGGCAGGCTCCCTTTGTCAGCCCCACTCCAAATTTGTTCTTGGGTGGTATTTGGAGGAAGAGTTGTAAAGATAGGTCAGAGAGTTCCTGGGGGGAGGGCTATGCTATATTTAGATTGAAAGCAGGTAGGTGGTGTGTGAAGCCTCGGCGTATTGCGTGTAAGCTAATCCTTGTCCCTCCCTTCACTAGCAATCAGCATCTACTGAGTAAAATACACAAACCTTGGTTTTCTATTGCTCTGTAGCTGGTGGGGAGAATTTCTGCAGATTGCAGCGCCCCTCTGTGGCTGATACCTCCCTCACTGTTAGGCCTGTGGGCGCAGTTGGCAGAGATGGTTGCTGTCCCTCTGTGTTGAGTCTGTAGCTTCCCAGCTCTCTCTGGTGGCTTGCCAGGCACACTTTCTTGCTTTCAGTCATTCTGTCTTTCTGCCATACCATCCTGGGTGGGTAAGTTAAATAGGGGCTTTTGTTTGTTTGTTTGTTTGCTTGTTTGTTTTTTTTTTGTTTGTTTGTTTGTTTTTGGTCTCAAATGTAGATGGTGTAGGGTGGGGGAGACAGCAGCCACGGAAACAGCGGTTCCTTCTTTCTTTTGGCCTAATCTTTTTCTGGCCTCTTTAGACACATTTGTCAGGAATCTCTGAGCATCTGGGAATACTTTAATGGTCTGTTTCAGGCACAGGTGAAATTCTAACTTTGGGTGCCATTGTTTGTGGAATGTTTTGTGTTAGGATGGTTTGCTCTGGATTTTCTCAGGTTGAGAAGATGGCTGCAGAGACCCTTGGCCAGGTCTAATGTGTTACTTGGTTCTTACGGCATCTGGGGACCTCTTCTCGTGGGTCCCAGTGATGGGGAGAGGCAGTCCCTGGAAAGTGACTGGGATTCGATGACTAGGGTTGGAGCAGGCTTTGCTGCTGGCCCATCCTTCACCAGTCTGCTCAGAGCTTCTCTGTGCTGAATAACACAAGTCTTCCCTACTCAGGGCCAGAGGGCATCAAGCCTGTCTTTGACCTGGGTGAGACGGAGGAGAAAAAGTCCCAGATCAGCGCAGACAGTGGTGTGAGCCTGACATCTGCTTCCCAGGTTTGTGAGAGCCTTCCCAAAAATTGCCAGGAGTAAATTACTGTCTCAAAATAAGAAACACACAAACACACACACACACATATACACACACATATATTTTGGCAGTGGGAATTAAATTCAAGGTATACAATCTAGATAAAGACTACCACTAAGTTATACCATTAATCCTCAAAATTCTTTTTGTAGTTAAAAAAGAAACAATCTCAAATATAACTAATAATAAGGATACTTAAATAAGTAGTCATGAAATTTAATACTGCTATTAATTGTATTTTCAAAAATTTAGCAATACAGTATAATTTTATATATGTATATGATACATGTATGAGAGGGAGGGTCTTACTATCTAGCCCTGGCTGGCCTAGAACTTGCTATATGTAGACCCAACTGTCCTTGAACTCAGAGATCATCCTGCCTCTGTCTCCCAAGTGCTAAGATTAAAGATGTGTGCTACTGTGTCCACCTTCACTTTAGTTTTTAAATATATCTAGAAAGACTAAAAGACTAACAGGAAATACACTAAAAGTAGAGGTTAATTTGGGCAGTAGACTTATGGCTTGTGTTTCTTTCTTTCTTTCTTTCTTTCTTTTGTTTTTCTACAATGAGTATTTATTTAATGTGTTATTTATGTAAGTTCATACATTCCATCTAAGAAAAAAATAGGATATCTCTAGAAATAGGTGTGCCTTTGTCTTATTTCAGAGGACTGATCAAGACTCTGTCATCGGTGTGAGTCCAGCTGTTATGATCCGAAGCTCAAGTCAGGATTCTGAAGTTAGCACCGTGGTAGGGGAATACCACATTGGCCTCTTTGTGGGTGGGGTGTGGATTTCTCCCTGGAAGGGCTCCTTCCCTTTGAAGGCTGTTCTTAAGTCTCAGGTCACTTTGATCCTCATGGGTGTGTGGATGCAGGCTGTCACTCATTTTATAAAGAGGTGTATGGGAAAGCTGACACACCTTTAAAATGATTCTTTTCACAGCAGCGTAGAGTTCTAACTGGCTTTGGGAGTCCCTCTCTGGGGACCGTCCCTTACTACCTTTTGTCTTTTCCAGGTGAGTAATAGTTCGGGAGAGACCCTCGGAGCAGACAGTGACCTGAGCAGCAATGCAGGTGACGGGCCAGGAGGCGACAGCAGTGCCCACTTGGCAAGTTCTCGGGCCACTCTGTCTGATAGCGAAATTGAAACCAATTCTGCTACGAGCACCATCTTTGTAAGCTTTACTTACTAACAAAAGAGCATTTCTTTAATGGGAGAGGAAAGTGGTTTAGAGACAGCGAGAAGGAAAAGGTGGAGCTGGGGTGTAATTCAGTGGCAGAGCGTCTACTGAGCATGTGCTTGGTACTGCAGAGGAAAGGGAGCCTTGCCATAGTCATGCGGGGTCTGGGTCAGCTGGTGTGGCTCTTTTCTTTCTCTCTTTCTTTCCATCTGGTATTTTGCTTCCTCCCTTCCTTCCTTCTTTCTTTCCTTCCTTCCTTCCTTCCTCCCTCCCTCCCTCCCTCCCTCCCTCCCTCCCTTCCTTCCTTCCTTCCTTCCTTCCTTCCTTTCTTCCTCCTCTTCCTTCTCTTCTTTTTTGAGACAATCTCACTGTGTAACCCAGGCTGCCCTCATCTCCCAAATTACAAATGTGTACCACCACACCCGGATAAAATAAGTCACTGAGCTCTCACCTCGGCCCTCTGCTTTGCAGTGCACACCTGCTTCTTTAGACAGCATTATCTACTTTGATCCATGTGTCACTTTATTAAGAGGACAGTGGATATTCTCCATAGCAGCTTTTCAGTCCTTTTGTCTAGAGAGGACACTGAAAGATAGGATTCAAATGAAGTCATTTTTTTACTACTGGTGCTCATCTGTCTCCAGGTCCTTCTGTGTGTCTCTGTTCCTGGTAGAGCCAGTGGAGGCTGAGAGAATTAAGAATTAGCAGGGCCTCTCAAGTTAGGGTCTGACTCATTCTGAGTCCACAGAGACTGTTTTAATAAGAGTGTTTGAGAAGTTCTTCCAGCTGGGTGTGGTGGCTCTTGCCTGTAATCCTCCTCAGGGACTGAGGTAGAAGGATATTAAGTTTGAGGCCAGCCTGCTACATGGTAAAACCTTGTCAAAAGAGATGGAGCCCAGGCAGATGTCCCAGCAGGTAAAGGCTCTTGCCCTCAAACTTTGACAACCTGAGTTCTGCCCTTGGAACTACATGGTTGAAGGAGAAAAACAACTCCTAAAAGGTATTTTCTGGCCTACACATGCATGCATAACCACAACCCACACATAACCCCCAGGACACACGTACAAAATGAATCAATGTTAGTTTAAAAAGTCTTTTGAGGGATGGAGAGATGACTCAGCAGTTAAGAGCACTGACTGCTCTTCTAGAGGTCCTGAGTTCAATTCCCAGCAACCACACAATGGCTTACAAACCATCTGTAATGGGATGCCATGCCCTCTTCTGGTGTGTCTGAAGACAGCTACAGTGTAGTGTACTACTAATAATAATACTAATAATACTACTACTACTAATAATAATAATCTTTTGAAACTTTTTTAAAAATCCCTTTGTTGTGCTTTGATTCTGGGTGTTAAATAATGAGTGTCATTCTTGCAAGATGCCAGTCACTATGTGCTACCTTTCCTGGCTCTTCTTACCACACAGTCTTAAATGGCCTATTCTAGGGAACAAGGAGTGTTCGTACAGTGAGGTGAGAAAGGTTACTAAATTTCTTGTTTGATTTGTGTGTGTGTAACGTAGAAGATAATGTAGGAAGTCTCCTGGTCTCCTGTTGGGCCTTCACACACACAGACACTTGCACACATATTAAATAAATAAGCAGTTAATTAACTTAATCACTTCTCCAGTCTTGTGGGGTAGATATTATAACTTTCCTTTTATAGGCAAGGAAAATGATCCTCAGTAACTATAAGAATTAACAAAAAGTGGGTATCTGAACCCTGGCCAGTCTGACTTCAGATTCTGTGTTTTCTATTGTGTTGTGCTACTACAAAAACTTGACCTTGTTTTGTTGGGTAAGGGTGTGAGACAGGATCCTGTGGCCCAGGCTGGCCTCAAACTTGAAATAAAGCTAAGGTTGGCCTTGAACTACTGACCTCCTTTCTCAACCTCCCACAAACTGGGATTAGAGGTATGCCCAGCTTTAAGAGAAAGCATTACAGAGATTAAAGAATGAAGGCAAGTCAGAACAAAGACTTCATTTCTTGCTTTAGGAAGCAATAACAGCAAATAGGATCATTGACTAGGATTGACTTTTGGCCAAGCATAGTAGCAGAAGCAGGGAAAACTGTGGTTAATGAATGATGAGCCTCTCCCTGAGGTGCCTGGTTTACTCTGTCTGTCTTGGTTGGTAACTCTGGCATCTGACCTACCATCTTGTCTTTCTAGGGTAAAGCCCATAACTTGAAGCCAAAGGAGAAGCCAGCTGGTAGTCCAGTTCGCTCTTCCGAAGATGTAAGCCAGCGAGTCTATCTCTATGAGGGACTACTAGGTAAGAAATAGACTGACAAGGCCCCTTGCCTTGGAAAGCTGGTCCCAGCCGTGGGAGAGGGTGGCACTGAACAGCGGCTGCTTGGCTTTTACTAATATCAATTTTGACATCAGCTAGCATGTTAAACTTCTTTTTAATATTCATTTATTTAATGGGGACCGGGTGCATGCTACACACATACATGGAGGTCATGGGACTTTAGAAGTTGGTTCTCTCCTTCCTTCTTCCACCATGTGGGCTCCAGGACTGAACTGAGACCATCAGGCTTGACAGCATACACCTTTGTCCACCGAGGCATCTCAGTGGTCCAGATAGCATATGGAAATCTGAACTAAGGAACCTGTGGGATGAGCAGGGGCGGAAAACGAGACAAAGCTGGGCTTGGGCATTACTCACCAGGCTGTGTCTTTCTGTCTCCTCTCTTTCCTCTTGCTACCATGTTCCTCCCTGCTCACAAATTGGCAGGAAGGGACAAAGGATCGATGTGGGACCAGTTAGAGGATGCTGCTATGGAGACCTTTTCTATAAGTAACTGCCTTTCTTTGTGTGATGTGTTCATCCCTCCTGCTTGGGAGGGGCAAGGCCTCACTTGGGGGCCTCCGGGGTTGGAGGCAAAATATATTAGATCTGGGAGAAAGGTTCAGTTTAATTTGGAATGACCTTGTTTTTATCTGGGGCTTACTGTCTTTTTATTTAGCAGCTACATTCTTTAAATGTTAAATAAGCCATGCTCTCCACCCAAGAACTAACCTAATTCTACACAGGCAAAGAGCGGTCTACTTTATGGGACCAAATGCAATTCTGGGAAGATGCATTCCTAGATGCTGTGATGTTGGAAAGAGAAGGAATGGGTATGGACCAGGGTCCTCAGGAAATGATCGACAGGTATGAGACTTAACAAAGACCTGGCAGTATGCCTATTCAGTTCCTTCCACGTCGTCTTGTGGTCTCCCACTTGAGGACTAACTTGTGCCTGGGATTCTGTGTAGGTACCTGTCCCTAGGAGAACACGACCGGAAGCGCCTGGAGGATGATGAAGATCGCCTACTGGCCACACTTTTACACAACCTCATATCCTATATGCTGCTGATGAAGGTATAGCTTATGTACTGATGATATTGCTTATGCCCAGCTGTTACTGGTGCTGGAAGGGCAAGACTAGGTCTATTGCCTAAATTTTGGAATAGTTTAGAAGCTGTCAAAGTATCTGACTGAAAGTCCAAGGCTCCTATGGAAGCTTGCACACTTTTCCTTTAACACTTTACACACTTTTCCTTTTGAGGCTGCCAGGCTATTTTGTTAATGAATGTTATAAGGGTAATTGATTATCACTTGATACTTGTTTACTTTGAATTTTATCTATTCCCTTTGCTAAGTTATGTTAGGATACAATAGAGCTCTCCACAGATTACAGCTGATTTAATACGTTTTTTTCCAGTGGTGTATTCTAAAACCTTCAGGTGCTCAGAATTTATTTTTCAGCACCAGCCCTTAGTCATGCAGAAATTTCTGTAGCTAGAAAAAGCTGCCTAGCTGGGCATGATGGTCCATGCCAGTAAGTAAGGCGCTTGGGAGGTGGAGGCAGGAGGGTAAATAATTCAAGGCCAACTTGGCTATAAGTTGAAGACCAGATAGAACTATATAAAATCTTGTCAAAAAGAAAAAAAAACCTGCTTTTTAACAAAGAAGTGGTAGCTCTAGTTTGAGTTGTTTGGGTTTCATATTTATAGCTGTGAAGAAGTAGATTGCAAATGATCAAGAATTCTTCTCTGAAAGAGAAATGTGGATTTGGACTGGTGGTGGCAGAGAATTATTGTGAGAATGAGCCTCCCTGAGTCCTCTCTAGCTTGTAAGTGCGACACAGAGACAGTTCTGTGAGCCTTTTGACTTGATTGATTTTGTGTCTTAGTTAGGTTTCTGTTGCTGTTATAAGCATTATGGCCAAAAGCAACATGGGAACATAAGGGCTTATTGGCTAACTGGTGACACTCCGTCATCAGGGGGAGCCAAGGCAGGAACATGGAAGTAGGAACAGATGCAGACACCATGGCGGAGTGATGCTCACTGGCTTGCTCAGGCTGCTGTCTTATAGACCTCTATACCAACCTGCCCAGGAAGGGACAGCCCAGCAAGCAGCCGGGCTCTCACATCAATCATAATAAAAAACAACTCACAGGCTTACCTGCAGGCCAGGCTTACAAAGGAACTTTCCCAATCGAGAGTCCTCCCCAGATAACTCTACCTTGTGTCAAATTGCCAAAAGCTAGTCAGCACTCCCTATGTTGTAAGCTTTTCTCTACGCTTGAATTCCATTTCCCTGTGGTCAGGGGTGGATGGATGGTGGTGGTAAGCTGCAAGGTGTCTCAGGTACCAGAGTCCCACTGTTGCTGTACCTGTGTCTCTGTTTCTAAATCATACTCTAAGAAGTCATTTTGGGAAGGATTTTGTGGTACTGGTAAAGAACAGGAGGAGTCTCTCTTTGATGCCCAACTTTCTAAGAGCAGCTTTTCTGTAGAAGCTAGCTAGAGGCAGAGACAATTCCTTTGTTTCTCCAGCATATGGACAGAATACATAGTTGAAGTGTTCTGCCATAGTCAGTAATATAGTCTTTCAGAATTCTATTTCTCTCAGGGAAGTGGAAACTTTGACATTTTCTTGTCTCTGCCTCACTTGGGAAGAGAGCAGATCCTTTATTAAGACTCGTGTCTTGGCTTTACAGGTGAACAAGAATGACATCAGGAAGAAAGTACGGCGTCTAATGGGAAAGTCCCACATTGGGCTGGTATACAGCCAGCAAATCAATGAGGTGCTCGATCAGCTGACCAACCTGGTGAGCACATCAGACCATCCCTTGGGCTTCTTCCATTCTGCATGTCGTCCCTTCCTCTACAGAGCTTCCACAAGGAACACTTGTGTCCCTGTCGCTATGCAGCCTGGTTAATGCCTAGTTTGGAGAATGGGGCAGTAGTTTAGAGAATGGGTAGTTAGTAGTTTAGAGAATGAGTAGTTAGTTTAGAGAATGGGGCAGTAGGTTAGAGATGGGTAATTGGTAGTTAGTACTTTAGAGATGGGTGGTAAGTAGTAGTTTAGAGAATGGGTAGTTAGTAGTTTAGGGAATGGGTGGCTAGTAGTTAGTTTAGAGAATGGGTAGTTGTAGTCAATAGTTTAGAGAATGAGGCAGTAGTCCAGGTGAGGTTTCATCCTTTCCTTCTGTTCAGTGTTGGGACTCTCAGTGCCCCAGATGTTGTAGTGCAGCAGTTTCCATGTGAGCTCTCCAGACCTTGGGGGACCTGAGGTGAAGTCTGTTCTCAGCACAACAGTAAATGCCTTTTCCTTCCTTCCTTCCTTCCTTCCTTCCTTCCTTCCTTCCTTCCTTCCTTCCTTCCTTCCTTCCTCCCTCCCTCCCTCCCTCCCTCCTTTCTTTCTTTCTTTCTTTCTTTCTTTCTTTCCTTCTTTCTGAGATAGGGTTTCTCTGTGTAGCCCTGGCTGTCTTGGAACTCACTCTGTAGACCAGGCTGGCCTTAAACACACAGAGATCTATCTGCCTCTGCTTTCTGAGTGCTGGGATTAAAGGTGTGTGCCACCAATGCCTAGCTAAAATGCCTTTTATAACTGGTTAATATTTGTACCAAAACTGCAAAAGCAGTCTTGAATAGACTATGGCACATTACTATCATGACACTAAACCATGTGAGCCCCACCCTCACCTCCATGCATTCTGTTCTTTAAAAGAGACAGTTTTGAAAACTGGGCATGTTGATACATGGCTTTAATCCTAGCACTTGGGAGGCAGAGGCAGGTGGATCTCTGTGAATTCAAGGCAAGCCTGGTCTACAGAGAAAGTTCCAGGACAGCCAAGGCTGCACAGAGAAACCTTCTGGGGGGGGGGGGGGGGGACAGTTTTTGGTAAGATGGCTCAGTAGGTAAAGGCACTTGCTGCCAAATCTGACAACCTAAGTTTGATCCTTGGTACCCATGTGGTAGTATGAGAACGCTGACTCCTACAAGCTGTCCTCTGACCTGCACGTGAGCTTCATAGCACATGTATGCCCACACATAGACACACTACCCACCCATTCACACTCACACAATGAGTTAATAAGTAAATAAAATATAATTTAAGGACTAAACAATTGGGTCAGTGGTTAAGAGCACTTGTTGCTCTTCCAGAGAACCTGGGTTCAATTCTCAGCACCCATATGATGGCTCACAGCCATCTGTATCTAGGGGATCCAATGGCCTCTTCTGACCTCTGAAAGCACCAGACATGTACACAGTGCACATAAATACTCAGACATATAAAATAATAAAATGAGCTTTAAAATTAAAATTAAAAAACCTAACAGTTTCATGCTGAATGTGGTGAGGCACACCAGTGATCCTATTACTTAGGATTTATTTATCTTAGTCTAAAACAGGGTCTTACAATTTTTTAAAATTTCATTATTTTATGTGTATTTGTTTGTCTGCATGTATCACATGTGTGCACCTCATATGTGCCTGGTGCCTAAGGAGTACAGAAGGGTGAGCTGGATCCCCTGAAGTTGGAGTTACAGCCAGTTGTTAGCCACTATGTGGGTGATAGGACTCTAATCCCGGGTCCTCTGGAAGAAAAGCAAGTGCCCATAACTGCTGAGCTATCTCTATGAAACTGACTTTTTTGAAAATTACATCTTATGTAACACAAGGAAGATCACAGGCTTAAGGACGATCTGGGTTATATTGTAAGACTGTCTAAAAAAATCATTTTAAAAAAAACTCCTGGCTTTTTGGGTATGTTGGTGCATGCCTTTAACCCCAGCGCTCAGAAGGAAGAAGCAGAAAGATCTCTGAGCTTGAGGCCAGCCTGATCTACAGATTGAGTTCCAGGACAGCCAGGACTGATATACAGAGAAAACCTGTCTCAAAAAACAAAAATCAAGATAAACAAACAAAAAAATCCCTACCAGTTTCAGGACTGGAGAGATGGCTCAGTGGTTAGGAGCACATACTGCTCTTGCAAGGGACCTGGGCTTGATTGCCAGCATCCACATGGTGGTTCACAACCATCAGTAACTCCAGTTCCAGGGGATCCAGTGCCCATTACTGGCCTGTGTGAACACCAGGCACATGTGTACACATATGTACATTCAGGCAAATACTCATATATATAAAATAAAAATTAAAAAATTAAAAAACTAGTTTCGCTTATGACTATTCTTGATGAAACAGTAAAAAATCACTTTTATTAAATTGTAGTCATTGCTTAGATGTCTTTTTAATATTTTCAGTAATAAAATGTTTAGTCTACATAAAGCATCCCTGCTACAAACAATGTGCTGGCTGCTGTGAGAAAAAGCAGTCTGTGATAGTGAAATATTAGCTTTGTTCATGAAACACCGTTCTCCTATACCTATTGGGCTGAATTAGCAGACACTTTTTAAAAAAGCAATGCAGTGAACTAGTTCTCTGGGTTTTAAAATTTATTCTTCTCATATATTACATCTCAGCTGTAGTTCCCCCTCCCTCCTGTCCCGTTTCCTCCCTCTGACCTCTCCCTTCCCCCATATCCACCCTTATCCCTCTCTCTTCCTGCCACATCCCTCAGAAAAGAGCAGTCCTCCCAGGGACAGTAATCAAATGCAGCACAACAGACTACAATAAGAACAGGCATATGGTCTCACATCAAGGCTGGATGAGGCCACCCAGGAGGAGGGAAAGGGTTCCAAGGGCAGGTAAAGGAACCAGGGACAGCCCCGGTGCTACGGTTAGGAGACCAAGAATACCCAGCTACACAACCACAGCATATATGCAGAGGTCCTAGGTCAGACCCATACAGGCTCCCTGATTTCTGTGAACCACTTGAGTCTCCAACAGTTGATTCTGTGGGCCATGTGAATCTGTTCTTTTAACATCAGCAGGTGACATATTTGTTGCCAAATTTTTAAATGTGGAAAATGAGAATTTGGAAGTTTATTTTATTTGTTTGTTTGTTTGTTTTTTAAACAGAGAGTCTCACTATATAGTTCTGGCTGGCCTGGAACTCACTCTGTAAACCAGGCTAGCCTGAAACTCACAGAGATCCACCTACTTTTCACCCAAGTGGTATGATTAAAGGTATATATCACGATGTCTGGCCAGCTTTCCGGTGTTTCAAGTCTTTTCTAGTGAGACTGATGATGTAATGGATATGATTTTTAAAATAAGATATACTGAAGGATTAATACTTGGTTAGTATCTTTCTAATATACTGTGTGATATTACCGATACAAATCAGGGCAAATTTTGTACTCAAGGTGTAGAAAAAACAGGCAGGCTTTACTGAAACTGTATAAATGTCCATTGATGTGTTTTCAGATACACATCGCAGCTCTAAGAGGCTGCAACTCTCAGCTGCTGTCCGTAATGCTGCTAATCCCAGTGCAGGGGTGGGGGGGAGGCAGAGGAGAACTGCAGCGAGCTTGAGGCCAGCCTGGCCTAGAGAGCAAATTCTAGGCCAGCTGGGTATAGAGGCCTGCTTATCTGAAAAGACCTTTAGAAATCTTCCCCTTTCCAATGCCTACCTGTGAGGAACATTTTCTTTATGTTCCTTAGCCAAAGCCACACATTCAATAGCTTGTGTGCAGAAACAAAGGTGAGGATGCCACTGTTTTCTTTCTCTCTCAGTCTTTCCCTCCCTTCTTCCCTCCTTCCCTCCCTCCCTCCCTCCCCTCCCTCCCTCCCTTCCTTCTTTCCCTTCCTTCCTTCCTTCCTTCCTTCCTTCCTTCCTTCTAGAGACAGCATCTCTGTCTATGCAACCATGGCTGTCTTGGAACTTGGTACATAAACCAGGCTGACCTCATAGTCACAGAAATCCTTTAAACAAAAGCAGCTCTTATTTTTAAATTTGATTTTTATTTGGTGTGTGTGTGTGTGTGTGTGTGTGTGTGTGTGTGTGTGTGTGTGTGTTAGAGGACAGTTTGCTAGAGTTCTCTCCTCCTGTGTGAGTTCTAGAGACTAAACTCAGACTTTCAAGTTCTTTACTTGCTGGGCTGTCTTGCCAGTTGCCTTTATACTTTATTTTGTTCTATTTTATTTTTGAGACAGGTCTCACTATGTAGCATTGGTTGGCCTGGAACTTAATATGTAGACCAGGCTGGCCTCAAACTTACAGAAATCCATCTGCTGCTGCCTCTCTCAAGTGCTGGTACTAAAGGTGCACACTTTTAGTACCTCATCATTCTGATGAGAATGAGATTTCATGGTTCAACTTGGTACATGACTAAGAGTGATTTTAGATTTCCCATCCTCTGACCCCAGTTCCCAAGTGCTGGAGAAAACAGGTATGCACCAGGGCCAGCTCCTTCCTCTCATTGCTTCCTTTCTTTTTTTAAATGGTGTTTTGTAATGTAGCTCAGGCTGGCATCAAACTTGTGATCCTCCTGCCCCAGCCTCTTCAGTGTGTGGTAGCATGCTCAGCCCAAGAATGCAGCTATTTTCTCCTAAACCAAACATTAACAAGATTTGTAAGTAAAACATTGATACTCTTTTTATTGTTGCTGTTGTTAGGAGAAATACATTTTATAAAAGGTGTGTTCCTTATCATATACTTGGATATCAGCAAATTATTACATCCCAATCACAGCCCCCTCCTCTCAGTCCAATTATTTTTAAATGAATTAATAAACATTAAACTGTTATTAATATTTCAAGAATAGTAATCATAGCTATAACTCACAAAAAACAGAAGTTCTCTGAGGTCTTCAGTTTTTAAGAAGTGTAGGGATACTGACTCCAAAAAGTCTTTGGTCCTTCCCTGTGGCCAGTGACTAGCAGATAACATGGTCCTAAGCAGTGGGCATGGTGGCACAGACCTTAAATCCCAGCACTCGGGAGGCAGAGGCAGGCTGATCTCTGAGTTCAAGGCCAGCTTGGTTTACAGAGGGAATTCTAGAACAGCTAGGGCTGTACAGAGAGAAGTCCTGTCTTGAAACAAACAAAACAAACTAACTAAAAGATTGGGCTAGGGAAGCTGTTAGGAATTTAATTGCTAAGTGAGACTTTTTGTTTGTTTTTTTATTTTGTTTTTTGTTTTGTTTTGTTTTGTTTTGTTTTGTTTTGTTTTGAGACAGGGCTTCTCTGTATATCTCTGGCTGTCCTGGAACTCACTCCGTAGACCAGGCTGGCCTCGAACTCAGAAATCTGCCTGCCTCTGCCTCCCAAGTGCTAGGATTAAAGGCATGCACCACCACTGCCTGACTGAGACTTTATTTTTTTATTAATTATTTTATTTATTTACATTTCAAATGTTGTTCCCCTTCCTAGTCCCCCCTTCATAAACCCCTCACCCCATTCCCACTCCCTGAAACATTTTTAAAATTCCAGATAGGTGTGTAAGAACAACATCTGAAAGTTTCTAAGTATCTCTTTTTCCTCAGAATGGACGTGACATTTCCATCCGCTCCAGTGGCAGCCGGCACATGAAGAAGCAGACATTTGTTGTGCATGCAGGAACAGACACAAATGGAGATATCTTCTTCATGGAAGTGAGTTCATGTTGGAGAGCCAGAAGGCTATTCAGAGACACAAGAAGCCCCTAGAGCAATGCTAGGTTTTTTCCCCATTTATCATTAACTTATGAAGTTATTATGCAAATGATTAGGTAACTATGTGATCCCTCACCATTTCTTTTCTCAGTGTTGGATGTGTGACACAACCGTATGCTCCATGGATGAGAACGTAACGTGATGTGCTTGGGTGGTGACTGCTGCATACTCTCACCTCCACTTCCTTCTGTGTTCTACTGTCCTCAGCTTTTCATCTGACAAGGACTGATTGTCCCCTTGTATCCTCCAGGAGACTGTAGGCGAGCAATAAGGTGGACCATACCCAGGCAGAGGTGGTACACACCTTTAATCCCAGCACTGGGAGACAGAGTTTGAGGCTAGCCTGGTCTACAGAGCGAATTCCAGGACAGCCAAGGCAACACAGAGAAACCAGACAACAGATGATGTGAACCTAAGTTGTCATGTCCCCCTTCCTCGTGGGAAGGGAGTAGCGACTTCCAGTGTGCACTAGAGCGTGCTGCTCTGCTGGAAGCAGTGAAGCGCGACTGGCTGCTCACTGTGCCTCGTCTTTTCATTCAGCATTCTCTCATACTTCTCTATACTAGAAGAAAGACTTTTCCCTTTTATCATTCCTTCTCTTTAAGAATTTTATATTTATTAACTTATGTGTATCACAGCATGTGTGTGGAGGTCAGAGGACAACTTATAAGAGTTGGTTTTCTCTTTCCATCATATGGACTCTGGATATCAAACTCAGACTCAGATGTTCAGCCTTGGTGGCAAATCCCTTTACTCACAGAGCCATCTTGGCACCCTGTTTTCTTTGTTTTTGTTTTTGCTTTTGTTTTGTTTTGTTTTTGAGACAGAGTTTTACATAGCCATAGCTGGCCCTGGAACCCACTATATAGACCAAGCTAGCTTTGAACTCACATAGATCTGTCTGCCTCTGCTTCCAGGTACTAGGATTAAAGGCATGCACCCCTTGCCCAGCTTTGTTAGTTATAATTTTTTTGTTTTGTTTTTTTTGGTTTTTTGTTTTTTGTTTGTTTGTTTTGTTTTTTTGTCTTTTGTTTTTTTGTTTTGTTTTTTGTTTTTTGTTTTTTCTAGATAGGGTTTCTCTGTGTAGTCCTGGCTGTCCTGGAACTCACTCTGTAGACTAGGCTGGCCTCGAACTCAGAAATCCGCCTGCCTCTGCCTCCCAAGTGCTGGGATTAAAGGTGTGCGCCAACACTGCCCGCCGAGAGTTATAATTTTTAAGCTTGTCTTAACATAGGTCCACCCATTGCCAGTGGAAATGAATAGTGGAAAGTGAAGAAATTCACTTTCTGCCTTTAGGGCATCTAGACTTTTTGGTGATCACATCTCCTTGAACCTGTTTCTCAGTCATTTGTATTTCTTATATAAACTATTAGCCCAGAATAGATGCTTGATTTTTAGATTCAATATTTTTGCAAGAATACCTTCTAAGTGAGAGTGGTCAGGAGCAGAGACGAGAGGGCTTGGATGGAGAAAGATTTAAAGAGCATCAATATGTTAATAATAATTATATAAATTATAACTTGTTATTTGTATGTGCCTCTACATGTGTATGGAGAGCAGAAGATAGCTTTGTAGAGCTGGCTCTATCTCCTTCCATGTTTATGAGGGCTTGGGGGATCAAAATCAAGTTTCCTTGCTTGCCTAGCAGCACTGCTGAGCCATCATCTCACTGCTGAGCCATCTCACTGCCCTGATTAGTATGGCTCTGTATCATAACTAGATTGTCAAAGCAGCTAACTAGGTACTGTGTATGTGCGAACACTCTACTGTTGAGCTACATCCCCAGACCTATACCTGACTTTTGATGCACATTAAGAATTTTATGCATGTTGTATCAGGCATGATGGTGCACTCCTTTAATCCCTGCATTTGGAAGGCAGAGGTGGGATGATCTCTGGTCTACATAAAAAGGCTCAGAACATCCAGGAGTACATAGAGTGTGGAACTACCTTTAAAGAAACAGACAAACAGACAGAACAACACAAAAATTGTGCATATTAATACATCTAATAGTTATTACTGTCAGTGAGCCCCCTTAACCATGAGGAGACATCAACAAAGGAGCTTGCTCAACATGACATAGCTAGGTGTGCTACAGCTAGGATCTCAACCTATGCAACCTGGCCTTAGACCCATGCTCTAACCAGTATGCCACACTGTCACTCCCATAACCGAAGCTATGAGAGTGGGTGAGTCCATCTGGAGGGAACTGTTGGACTGGAAGAGCACATGAAGGAGACCTTGCTTCTCAGTGCTCCTTTATTATCCTCTGTTGAGTAGGTTTTTTTTTTTTTTTTTTTTTTTTTAAAGATTTATTTATTTTATTTATGAGTACACTGTAGCTGTCTTCAGACACACCAGAAGAGGGCATTGAATCTTATTACAGATGGTTGTGAGCCACCATGTGGTTGCTGGGATTTGAACTCGGGACCTCTGGAAGTGCAGTCAGTGCTCTTAACCGCTGAGCCATCTCTCCAGCCCTGTTGAGTAGTTTTTATGCAATAACCATTGTTCGTGTGTTACTTGCGTAATTATAAAAGTATTTTATAGTAGAATTTAGAAGTAAATTCCAAATAAAGTAGTTTGGTGAATTCTAAATAAAAGTATTTGGAAAAGAGCTAAGACTAGAAAATGCACTGGCCCCAGTGTTTTCTCCCAAGTTATGCCTAACCTTCTGCTTGGTGACAGAGCTGATTTCTCCGTGGTTGTAAGATGGAGGCAGGACATACACTCCAAGTCCTTGGTCTAGAGAGCAAATCTGAGGTGGTCTCCACTAGCTGAGTTACACAGTGTGCATTCTCAAAGATTCCATTTCTGTCAGCAATCCTAACGGAAAGTATGTCCACTGCTTGTGTTTCCCCTAAGGGGACCCTGAGCATTGGGCAGAAAACTTGACCCTAGGGCTGCTCCCAGGGTCAGTCATGCTATCCTTTCCCTGTGGGGCGCATGTAGTGTGGCCTGGGATGGGAAAACCTGTTAGAGACGAGGACTACTGATGAATGCTGTGTCTTTTCCAGGTGTGTGATGACTGCATGGTGTTACGCAGTAACATCGGGACAGTGTATGAGCGCTGTGTCTTTTCCAGGTGTGTGATGACTGCGTGGTGTTACGCAGTAACATCGGGACAGTGTATGAGCGCTGGTGGTATGAGAAGCTCATCAACATGACCTACTGTCCCAAGACCAAGGTCCTGTGCTTATGGCGTAGAAATGGCTCTGAGACCCAGCTCAACAAGTTCTATACCAAGAAGGTACTCAGGGGGTCTCTGTTTGGGCTGGAGATTAGATAGGCATTTAAGACTAAGTCCTGAATTCCTCACTGGAAAGTTACAATTCTAAAATCCACACCTAAAGCCAGACTTTGGCCTCCAGCTCTCATGTGGAACGCTTACACAGGCTCTGAGACCTGACATTGACCTTAGCCTTTGGGACCTCTAGAGCAGGGAAAATGGAAGGCTGGCAGGGCTCCTGTCACAGGACCTCCCCTCCTCCCTGTGCTGCAGTGTCGGGAGCTGTACTACTGTGTGAAGGACAGCATGGAGCGTGCTGCTGCCCGACAACAAAGCATCAAACCCGGTGAGGAGCAGACAGCCCCGTAGCCTCCTCCTCACCACAGACCTCCTTAGAAAGTTGGGCTGTGGGATTCACACTTCACCAGTCAGCTGACACCTTCCTTTTACCACAGGGCCTGAGCTAGGTGGTGAGTTCCCTGTGCAGGACATGAAGACTGGAGAGGGTGGCTTGCTTCAAGTCACCCTGGAAGGGATCAATCTCAAGTTCATGCACAACCAGGTATGCACAAGCAGCAGCAGGCGGCCTCCCGGCCCTAGTGTTTTGCTATATAATAAGATCAGTGTCCAGGCTCTCGGTGCTCTACCAGTGAGTTAGAGGGAGAGCCTTGAGCAAGAGAGAAGTGAATGGCTAGACTGAGAGAGAAACCAAAGGGGAGGGCACAGTGACTGGAGAGACCACCAGGCTCTGAGCAGATGCAGCAGGGAGCCTGTGTTGGGAACTGGGAAAGAGAATGAGGCTTGGTGGCTGTGCTGCCCACCCGTTAGACTCACACAGTGTGAGTGGGAGCGTCTTACTTGGCCCCTCTTGCGTGTCTCTGCCTTCCTGTGTTCCCAGGGTGTGCTTCTCTTGGTGGTTTTGCTTTGAGAGTGTAGATTGGCTGATTTCCCTGTGTACTTCGTGTGTGTGTGTGTGTGTGTGTGTGTGTCTCTGTCTGTCTGTCTGTCTGTCTGTCTCTGTCCTCTCCAAGTATGGGTGTTTGCCTTTTCCTGCTGATTCTTGTCCTTTCTCTTCCTCTGGATGTCCCTACTCCGCCCTGCTCCACAGGCCTCATCCCTTCCTTTGATGGGGAAATGCTTCAGAATCCTTTTTCCTACTGTGATTCCACCCTAGGAGCTGACTTCTCTTTTTCTTCTTGGTCTTTTAACACAGTGATACTTTTTCTCTCAGTGGACATTCCTTAAGCTAATTCCCTCTGAGGCCAGCGCATCATCCCAGGTCCGTTCCCGGCTCTGACTTCTCACACAAGTGCCTTTCCTCCCCTCCCCTAAAGTCCCCAAGTCTCTGAACTAGGTCCTAGTATGATATCCTGAAGTCCCTGGCCAAGTAACAGGAACTCAGTGGAGGTGCATATCTGACTTTGACATTACTTTGTTCCTCCTTGTCAATTTAGCTGGGAAGATCTCTAGCTAGGAAGTTTAGATTCAACGAGAAATAGCTAAATAGCTGCCCAGACATCCTTTCTGTCTACTAGTGTATTTCCAGTCTGGAACCTAGTGTGGCAGCACACCCATACAGATCTTAAGGTTCTCCTAGGAGGGGTATGTCCTTTTTTAGACCATAAAGGAGTTAGAGAGGTGGCTTCTGATCCTATTTCAGTGCTGTGCCCATTGCTCCCAGAAAAGATGAGCTCTTGTTAATTCATACCTAGACCCCCTGCCCACCTCCTTGTTCAGTGCTCAGTGTTCTCCATCCTGGGCCTTAACAGTTGTATACCATGTCCAAACTGTCCTGTACTGGAAGGCTTGGCTCCTAGAAGTAGCATCCTACAGAGAGTGACAGTGAAGGCTGACTTCTGAGTCTGACTCCATGGTCTAGAATGTTAAGGGAGCAGTGGCTTGTGGCCTGACCCATCTTCTGACAACAGCAGGCAGCTGGGGTGGTTATGAACTTGGAATAACAGATGGGAAAAGCATAGACTTGGAGTCAGAATGTACTTGGATCTGAGGCCCAGCTTCATTCACGAACAAACAAATGTTCTGATCCTATTTCTTTCTCATCTATAACATGGAGATAGTACTGTAGACTATAACAGTCAGATAAGTCTGTGCTCAGCACGTACTAGCAGTTATTAATGTTACTGTATACTTCTTGGGAGGTCATGGATCCTGTGTCAAGGAAGATAAGATCATCTCCCACCCTAAGGACAGTCTGAGGGGAGCTTTGCACCCGTGCCAGCCCTCTGCGCCGGAGGAGGATGTATGGAAGGGTAGAGACCTGAGGGACCTGAGTCAGAGATCCCTGGGGCACTGTGTCCTATGAGTGCTGCCTGGGTAGAGGGTGTGGGTGGGTAACCCAGGCCAACAGAGGGGCCTTTGGGTTGGGTTTGACCATTAAAACTAATGCCTTCATTTCTCTCCCATGCTTTCTCCTCCGGCCAGGAGCGGAAGGTACTTGCCCTTTCTGCTTTCTTCGCTTCTTAGCGCTTTTGATTGTGTGTGTGTGGATTCTTATGTCCTCCCTTTGGGAACTAGGTTTCCTTGGGGAGCGTGGGCTGTAGCTGGGAGAGTGGGCTTCATGGGGCAGGGGTGGAGCCTTTGGGCCTTACCCCCGCCCCCTCCCTCTCTTGCAGGTTTTCATAGAGCTGAATCACATTAAAAAGTGCAATACAGTTCGAGGCGTCTTTGTCCTGGAAGAATTTGGTAATTACACTATTTTGCTCTTAGGTCTGGACTCACATGGCAGTAACTCAAACCTTGGAGCTCCAGAGGAGGGTCTAGGGCAGGGGACAAAAGCCTTTGCAGAGAGGTCAGGAAGAGCAGGAATGACAGGGAAGGAAAGGAGCCCTGAGACCTCAGAACAGAAAGGAGAAAGACAGGATAGCCAGTGGTCCCCAAAGAGCAGGAAACCTTGGACAAGTTAGAGTCTAAGATGGTGATGATGCAGTGCCCTCTTTCCTGGTTTGGCCAGCCAACGGTCAGAAAGTTCTGGGGCAGAGCAGACTGGTGATCCTCAAGTTCTGTTGTGTCCATGTTGCCTCCTGCCATCTGTCTAGCAGCCCAACAGGGTCCCACCCAGCCTCCCCAGTACCACTCTGGTCCCACCCGGCCTCTGATCTAGAGGAGGGCAGGAGGCACCACAGACAGACTCAGCTGTGGCCAGAGAAGCCTCGGGGGCCTCAGAGGCAGAAGGGCAGGTCTATCTGAAGCTGGATCCAGCCTCCCCAAGCAGGCACTAAGGAGTGGTGTAGTGGGGCTCACCCTGGGGCTTTGAGTTCCTGCTGTGTTTGTGCTTCATTCTTTTGTGCCCCTCATCGCTGCTATGAAAACCTTCGTTCTCCAGCAGGTAACGTGACCTCGGCCCGTGCTGCCTTTCCCCAGGCCCTGCAGTGGGTGGTGGGCTCTTTTCAACTGACCTAGCTGCTTCCATGACTAGTGGTCTCTCCTTCTCCCCACCCTCTTCCTTCCCAGTGCCCCTCCCCCTTGTGCTAGCTCACTGTTCTGAGTTCTCTCTTCACTGTGCTCCCTTCTCTCTTTTGCCAGAGAGATACTTGGGGAATTCTTCCAACTCAGGAGAATGATCTGGGGCTTCTTGCTCTGCCTCTGATGAGTTTATTTCAGGCTAACACTGGGTTCTAGGTATTCTACCTCCCAGGGTCAGAAGAAGGTGTGGCCAACTCTCCTTCTATCTTTTCTGCCCCCAGAGGGATGCCATGCCCTCCTCCCAGTCTCACAAGGCCACACTGATGGCTGGATCTGGGCGACCCTACTCCTTCCTCTGGCCAGGCACAGACCCTGCATGGCTGGGATGGGTTGACTCCTAATCTTGCATTCTGGGCTGTGGACATGTGTGTATTTGCCTGACGCTCCCGTCACCTCCACCTGGGTGCTGTACTCGCCTTTCTCTTCTGATCAGTGTGTCTGCTCCAGAGCCTTCTGACGCTCTCCCTCACACAGGCAGGCCTGAGATTCTCCTGCCTCACAGGAGTTGATGTCTCCTCCAAGTCTGATGTTGGGTTTAGTATTCTATTACTTCATATGACTTTTATGACCCTCTGTTGTGGGGGTTGTGGGAGGAATGATATTTATCATGACTAGATCTGTGGGCTCTGGTGACAAGGATGCGTTCATGGGCATCTTAGCAAGGGAGTCACAGGCTAGAGACCACTCTCTTCCCTACTGCAACTCCTCACAAGCCCTGGACAGTAGCTGTGACCAGGCGGGAGAGTGGCCAGCCCTTCCACCTTGGGATACCCAAAGAAGCATGTAGATCCCAAGCGTCAAGTAAAGAGCCACAGCAGACTTCCGATGTCCGTTTGAGGAGTCTGCCTGGACAACCCAAGGAGTCTGGCTGGACAGGCTGAGCTCTGTTCTGTCACAGCCTAAGCCGCCACAGCCACTGTGAGAGGACACAGAGGGAAGGGGGCCTGGCCCTGGGCGCTGCCGCCTGGGGGAGTAGGACTCTGTTGCTCTTGGTTTTGAACTTTCTGTTTTGTTTCTTGCCCGTCCGGTTTTAGTTCCTGAAATTAAAGAAGTGGTGAGCCACAAGTACAAGACGCCAATGGTGAGTATGCGTCTCAGCCACAACAGGCCGAAGCACACAGGGCTCCCTGGGGACCTTCCAACAAGAAGGGTGGACCCTCGTGGGGGATTGGTCTAGATGCCAGTGGTTCAACTCAAGTTGAAATACATCTTTCATCTGGGGTATATGTGCTGACTCCCTCTCTCAGGAGAAAAGCTTCCAAAGACTTGCCTGAGGCTCACTCAGCCCAGTGGCCTGTGCTAGTGTCAGGGCAGGCCTTGAACTCCAGGCTGACCTTCCACCTATGAAGGTGCAGGAATCTCAGTGTGGCCGATCCAACGGGTCTTCTGTTCCCTGCAGGCCCACGAGATCTGCTACTCTGTCTTGTGTCTCTTCTCGTATGTGGCCGCAGTTCGTAGCAGTGAAGAAGACCTCCGAACCCCACCTCGGCCTGTCTCTAGCTGATAGAGAAGGGTTACACAGCTGGCCCAGCCCAGGGGTCACGCCTCACCTCTTGCTGCTCCTAAGCGCCGAAGCTGCTGTGACTGAGACAGGGATGATGTGTGTATGTTCTCTGCAAGCTCCTTCTCATGGTTTAGCTGGTTTCATTTTATGTCTGAGTGTGTCTTTGTGTTCATCTGTCATGGGGCTAAGCTAGCCTCATTACCTTCTCTTCTTACACTAGCAGACTAGCCTTCTGTCCCCTCAGGGCTCCAGAGTGTGTGTGTGTGTGTGTGTGTGTGTGTGTGTGTGTGTGTGCGCGCGCGCATCTGTCTGTGTGGTCACTGTTAGCCCACTATTGCCTGTCTTTGAGATGTTTGCACTGTGGCCCCACGTCCTAGTTCTTATACCCTCCAGTTTAGGGCTCTTCTCTCCATCCTCTGTGATCCGGCACTGCAGGGTACCTGGGACAGTTCCACTCTGGGAAGTGAGAGACACTTGGGGACAAACCTTCCTGGCTGAGGGTCCGGGAGGAGGAAGGGAGGATTCCAAGGAAGCCCAGTAAGTGGCAACCTTCCTGCTTCCTCACAGTTTGTAAGCTGTGGTTGCAGGTCACGCTGCTGCCTGCCCCAGCTCCATCGACGAGTGTTCTGAATGACTGCCATGTGCTGAGCTGGGAGTTCCGCAGTGTTCTTCCTGGCCTTTGGCATGAGAGGACAGAGGAGTGACATGATGGTGTCCCAGACAGCACCAGCTGCTCTGCCTAAGAGCTGGGGCTAGGTGGGTCAGGGCAGAATTGAGCCCAGCATGCATGCCTGTCTACAGGCAGTCTCCTGACTTCAGTGCCAGAAGAAAGCTATGGACTAGATAGGAGAAGAATGTAAATATTTCAGCTCCACATTATTTATAGAAAAATGTACAGCTGTGTGATGTGAAATAAATGTCCTGAACTCTGCCTGAGCTCCCCTGCTTTCCTCTTAGTTCAGCCTGAGGAAGGCTGTCCCTAGCTCATCTGCATCCAGCATTGGCATACTGAGATCCTGCTCTGGCCTCCTGCTCTCCGGGCTTCCTGGGGTGCCAGAAAGGGACGCCTGCTACACCACAGCTAGAAAGGCCTGGGATGCTCTGGGCACTAGAGAGAGGAGGTGACTTGGGCATTCGTGCCTGAGCAGCTTGATAAAGAAGTCCCAGGAAAACACAGGTGCTGCTCTAGATCCCCAATACAGATGTGGTCAGGTGTGTGGTGATGTGACCTGGGCCTCCCAAGGGCTTGCAGGCCAGGGCTCTGTGCTCTTGGGCAAGTGTATGTCTTATGTGGAGTAAAACACAAGGTAGTAACCCAGGTCCAACCTTCATGGGATATCTGTGCCATGGGAAACCCTGGCACTTGTGGGCAGAATACCCACATCACTATGACACTTCTGGGACCTGCTGGCCACAAAATTTGAAGGAAATGTGGCCTCTTTGAGGAGGAAGTCAGAGAAGGTTGTGATTTCCTGTGTCTGAGCTGAATGGAGTCACTCTGTCCCGTGAGATGTGGTCATGAGTTGTGGGCTCATAGGGGTCTTGATGCCTTGCATAGTACAGGGCCCTACTGCCCTACCCACTGTAGCACCCAGCTGGCATCGCCTGGGTTACTAGGATGAGGCTCATGCCTGTGCCTACAACGGAATACCTATGGCTCCAGTGCCTTTCACTTCCACTTTTCCCACCTGAGCATGAGGGTGGAGGGAGACTGACATCCTTTCTAATTAATGTCTCACAAGTACAGAACACTGATTTGGAGAATGGCATGCCTGCCAAGATCAAGCAAATGCTATATGCTTTCCCATGGAGATGAACAGGAAACATCAACCCCTAGTGACTGCACTGATCTTTTATTATTGCTCTTACACAGTGAGCCAGCCAGAAGGGCCTGTCCCCAGTCACCATTTCTGAAGCCCACACACTTGATGCTCCCACTATTAACAGCACTGTGACATCAGTTTCTGCAGAACCCATCAGACATGCCTGGTATAACTGTTGATCAGTCCTTCCAGGATGCGTAGTTGCATACACATACAAGTGCAGTAGCAGAAAGGGGTGCTCCTCCAACTCCCTTCTGGGCTTCTGGTACATGGGCTAGCATCCATCTGTACCTGTGACATAGGCTGCCTTGTGAATGAACTGAGGTTCCTTGTACCCCCATCTCCTGATAGCTACCCTAGACCCTTGGCCTTAGGTAGTTTGGAATACATACCTAGCCATCTCTAGGGAACCATCCTGGTCACTGAGGAACTGTAAGAGGGAAGGAGACAAGCCATGTGATTTCCTAGTCTTCCAGAAGCCAAGATCCACTGAATATGCCAGGGCCAGTGATCTAGCAGCCAGAAGTACTGCTTGAACCAGGACAGCAGAGCCAAGCCCAGGGCCCTTGCCACTACCCTGCTTTCTCCCAAGCCCTGGCCCAGAAGGCTCCTTACCTCGCACCTCCAGGCGGCACTCACACTGTGCCTCGCCCTGCAAGTTGGTGGCCCTGCAGACATAGACACCGCCATCGTAGGGGCAGGGCTTCCTGATCTCCAGGGTCAGTACTCCCTGCTTGCAGAACATGCGGAAACGAGCATCTTCTCCCAGATCCAGGCCGTTCTTGAACCAGGAAATCTTGGGCTGAACATCAAGTAAAAAGGAAAAGGGAAGCATCTTGGTGACAGGGGGACTGGTGGGAATTCAGAGGGACTATTCTAGAAGTTCCCACTGGAGCACCAGACTCAACCCAAGGCTGAGAATGAACATGGAGCTAACACTGAGGGATTAGGTCCTGTTCAGGGGGAAGACTGGAAGATATCCAGAGATGAGGCAGACAATATACAGACTGGGGAGAGTTAACCATAGGGAGCCTAGGAGAACAGCTTCCTGTCAGTCTAGCCCAGGACCTTGAGTCCCTACCTTAGGACTACCTCGGACAGCACAGCAGAGGATGGCATTATAGCCGGCAATGATGGAGCGGTTTGCCAAGGGCTGGGTGAAGCTTGGGGCCTCAGAGAAGTCCAGGGCCTTGTATTTGGGTGGCTCATATGTGATGCCTGTTGGTGACAAGTCTTGGTACCAAGGTCACCCCAAGCTAGGCTTCCCCCTCCTTCCCCCAGATTCCCCACAGTATGAGTAAGGGTGCAGCACCTGGTCTTGGAATAAAGACAGGTTCCTTGGTGGCAGCAGCTTTGTCACTGGAACCCACCATGTTATGGCTGAAGACCCGGAAGTAATAGCCATTGCCAATGATAAGCTCTGATACCACACAGTGAGTGCGGCGGTAATGTTCCAAAACGGTGAACCACTCCTGGAGGACGCGAAGGAACAGAGGGCTCTCTGAGGAACCTCTGCCTTTCTTGGGTACCCCTTGTGCCTTTACCCCTACCATGGAGGAAACCAGAATAATGGATTGGGGGGGGTCAATGGTTAGCACAGGGGAGGGCTGCTCAACCTAAGGAGGGTATATAGAGGCCCAGGGCCCCAGGCTCACCATGGTCTTCTTGTCAGCTTTCTGAACAGTATAACCCCAGATCTCTGTATTCCCATCATCTTGGGGTGGCTTCCACTCCAGAGCCACATTGAAACCCCAAGTCTCAACTATCCGGATATCCTGGGGAGGACTTGGCTTGTCTGCAAGAGACAGATCCAATTGGATCACTGAGCATTCTGAGGCTGCCTGAGCAGAAGCAGGGGCATGCTTGTGTACAGGAGCCCCTCCTTCTAACTACCCTCTGCAGGAGCTCTGACCTGGGTTCCCAGACTCAAGGTCAGGAGACAAGGGTGTTGAAAGGGAGGTTCCCGGGCCACATACCCACAATCTGCAGGATCAGTGTTGCCTTGTCCTCCATGTTCTCAATTCGAACTGTCACCTGGTAGGTGCCTGAGTGGCTGCGGCGGGCAGCTCGGATGAACAAGATTGTGTCTGTGGGGCTGTTCCGGATGCTCACCTCCTCACCTGCCAGTGGCTGCCCCTCTTTGGTCCAGGTCACTTGAGGCCGGGGTTTGCCCTGGGGGAGATTGAGCAGCCCAACCCTGAGCTTGACTCTCCGAAGGGGCTGGCACTACCCCAGCTACTTGTGGACCGAGGCCTCAGGTCTGCAGCCCCCAGGAGATCCTTCAACTGTGGTTTCTTCTTTTGGACAGGGAAGGAGTCAGTCTACCTGGAAAGGGATGAGGAGGTTTACGGGCTCCCCAACTTTCTTCTGGATGGTCTGGCGCAGGTGTCTGGGCAGTTGGAGCCGTGGTCGCTCTGTGGGTAGAAAGGGGGCAGCTCAACAAGGGCCCTTCTGTAACCTAACCCTAAGGATTCCATGGGTCCTTTCCCTCTCGGGGCAGGGCCCAGAGCACTGTAGCTGAGAAAAAAGTTGCCATGGTCTCCTAACCCACAGCAATTCCAGTATGCTCAACACTAAAAGCTGTACACTGAGCTTCCGTGTGTGTGTGTGTGTGTGTGTGTTTCACTTTTTAGATTTACTTATGTATTTATATGTATGAGCATTTAGCCTGTATGTGTATATGTGCACCATGTGTGTGCCTAGTGTTTGCAGAGATCAGAAAAAGGCAATGGGTCCCCTGAAACTGGAGTTATGAATGGTTATGAACTGCACATGTATGTGCTGGAAACCAAGCCCTAGTCCCCTGCAAGAATAGCAAGTGTTCTTAACTGAGACCCCATCTCTCAGGCCCTGTGTTCTCTTTTGAGGAGGAGCTGATGTAGCCCAGCCTGGACTCACCCCTCATCCTCCTGCCAGTGTTACAGGTGGATGCCATTGTGGTCAGCTTCAGTTCAGGAGGGTAAGGAAGTTATTTGGAGCCTCATATCTTGTAAAATGTAACCAAAGGCTCTGATGCTGTGCTGTTGGACCCTCAACCCAGTACTATTTCAGTTTGCTGCTTCTTTCCAACCTAGAGAACCAATCCTTCTATCTTTATAAAGAACAGAAGAAAGAGCCAGGTGCAAATGGCACACTCTCAGCCCTCGGGAGTTAGAGGCAGTCTGTAAGTTTGAGGCCAGCCTGGTCTACATAGTTCCAGGACTACGTAGAGAGACCCTGTCTCAAACAACAACAAAGGCCAACAGAAGAATGGGAAGTGTATCCTAGATGAGCCTAAGTGACCCTGAGGAGCCTCACTGTTCAATTCTGAGGATAATATCTATGCTGGAGTCCCTGTTCCAGAACTAGGAGCTGAACCAAGAGAGCCCAAGGCATAAATAAAGGCCCTGGCCCTTCCTGTCCCTGCCCCAGCCCAGGCCCCTACCCCATGCCTCTGTCTTGTCTTGATTGGGAAAGGGTGGTCAGTGGCAGGCCTTTTAGCAGGACACTCACGCAGTATCTCCTGCACTGTCACAGGCTCTTTGGTGATGATAGGACCTCCAGGTCCTGCCACGTTGTGCGCTCGCACTCGGAACAGCAGCCGTGCCCCTGTGGGTAGATCCTTCACCAGCAGCGAAGTTCTCTCTGTCAGCCCTTGCAGAGCAGCCACCCACTCAGAGCCTGGATGTGGGCATAAATGAGTCAAAATCACACCTTACCTTGCTACCACCTTCTGAGGCTGGCCCCATGGGTGGAACACTCACAGCCCTCCTGGCAGTACTCTACACTGTATCCATCCAGGCCACCTGCTCCCACACGCTCTGGGGGCCGCCACTTGAGTGAAACAGTGGTGTCCGACACATCTTCCACAGTCAAATGGGTTGGTTCACCAGGGGGCCCTGGGCAGAAACAGGTAGAGAGAGTCTGAGTGAGCCTGTACCAGGCAGGGAAGCGGCCATCCATGACTGGGACCTCAGTTGTCTGCTGAGCTCATAGGAAAGACTTCCCTTCTGCTGGCTTCCAGCCACTTCCAGGAATATTTGAGCTGCATTAAAAGACACATCTCTGGGTTGACTTACAAACCAAGAACTGATAAAAAACAGGGACTCAGGAAAGAAGAAAGGAGCCA